TATAGAATATATTATAGGTATAGTAAGAAACGTCCATTTCCGAAGTAAAGAACATTATTCAAGTATAAAGGGAATATATTAATATACCTCTATTTCGAATATTTGCAATATTAAGACTTAATATTTCATTTCAATGAAATTTTTGAGCCTAATTGTAGTTGTATTGATTTCTGCGTGACATATTATAAGATAAACCCTTCAATGCATAAGGGGCGAGCTGATGGCTCGAAATGCTGTTTGGAACCGAGTTGAAAGGGCTCTGTCCAAAGGTGTCTTTTACGTGTTTTTTATCAACATAACATCACGAATTTGAGGTTTTTACAAATTAAATGCAGTATTAAAAAAAAAAAAACGATTAAAATTTTTATTTTCAAAAAGTTTTATAACTGATTTGACTGGCCTTTTTATCTTTACATTGTACCTACTATCCATTTTAATTTCTTAACATTTTTACTGTGTATTTATTTATTTACTCGATTCATCTTATTCTGTCCATGTTACCCCTGTAAAGTCTACTGAACATTTATATGGATTTTAGACTATAAATAAATTTTATTCTGTTATAATTATTGGAATATTTAGAACGTGATTATATTAGAATGCGTGGTCTTCAGTTAGAAAACTTATTTTGTTGCATTGAAATATGTTCTTTACTATCGTAGTTTCAAGTTCGTCACGCGTGTCATGCGAAATGGTGCTATTTGTGGTATTCTTCAGCAAGACAGCAAAGGGTGACTTTCTAGTTTAGATCGAATGCGAATTAAGTACGCAAAAATATACCAAACTTATGTCGGTTTAAAGCCAAATATTTTTCTATAATAGCCAGCAATTTCACCTAAATCACCAAGACACATCATCAAAACCGTTGATAAATTCTACGAATTCTTAATTTCCCCTTTTTTACCGGTGTGACTATATTCTTCAGTACCCTTTACCAGGGCGACTGATTGATTTTTTACAGATATTCACAGATATGTCTCTAGATAGATAGAGTTCATTTGGTTCTAAGTCACTAAGCAGAGGGTAATTCTTCAGCCTCATTCTGCAAATGGACTGTAATCTAGAATTTTACGACTGACGCTCATTGTGTGTCTTTCTTTTAATGTTCAGATAAAAAGCCATTTGCTGTCTTGTTGAGTAAAAAATGTAATTTTACGAACCAAGAGCGATTATTTTGTTTTACTTCTAAAGTATGTAGAATTTACAAATTTCAATTACCGTTTGCGAAAATTCCCTTCTTGAAAAGCTTATTTTGTTCATGTAAATATCATTCCTATGATGGAAAAGCAACTACATGTTCTTTCGTGTTTTACTTATCTCTGAATGTAGTTCTTACAATAGAAGATATGACACGTTTTATTCTGAAATATAAATTTTTGCCATTAATCTGTTGAAAAAATACAGGTTCTGGGTAAAGATGATGGAACCATTTATGTGAATGAAATCTGTTTTATTTTCCAAATTTAACCGTTTTCGGCAATTCTCCCTTACCAGTATCTTTCATTCTATCGACTAAATGATGCAGAAATTAGGGTTGTTTTCTCGTATTTAGAACAATGAGAAATATCGTGATCTGTTCCTTGGATTTTAACCCAAATTTCATAAGTGAACATGTAGTTTGTTTTCTAATTAAAAAATGGATATAGGAAATGTGAGAAATATCGTGATCTGTTCCTTGGATTTTAACCCAGATTTCATGTAAATGTAGTATGTTTTCTAATTAAAAAATGGATGTAGGAAATATGAGAAATATCGTGATCTGTTCCTTGGATTTTAACCCAGATTTCATGTAAATGTAGTATGTTTTCTAATTAAAAAATGGATATAGGAAATGTGAGAAATATCGTGATCTGTTCCTTGGATTTTAACCCAAATTTCATAAGTGAACATGTAGTTTGTTTTCTAATTAAAAAATGGATGTAGGAAATGTGAGAAATATCGTGATCTGTTCCTTGGATTTTAACCCAGACTTCATAAGTGAACATGTAGTTTGTTTTCTAAATCGTTTTTTAGGAATTTTTTTTGTAAATTTCATATTCCTTTTACAATCTAATGTTTATTATTCTCTCTATTCTGTCAATAGCCGGGTAAACGCTGTATATGTTTTTACGTAGGACTTCTGACACGTTATTTGCCAAACATGACAAAAGTGTTGAAATATTTTGTTCGAGTCAAATAAACATACTAGTAAGACCATAAGTGTGGTAGATAGTTTATTTACTAGGTCGAATAGATAAGAATGTTATATTTGTTACACCTTTCAGTGAGTTTAAATACAGATATCAGATAATCTTTCATATACTAGGACCCTTTTAAACTTGTTGCAATAAAAAGACTTATGACAATGGTGTTTTACAGATATTTGTTTTATAAATAATTGAATACATAAAAGCAATCTGTATTTCTCGAATAATAAACTTATTGAATATACAAAATGTCTTAGCGTTTTTACTGATGGCTACATGGCTCAGTGGTAGCGTGGGGTTGGGGTTCGATTCCTGGCTCGGGCACTTTGGAATTACAAAGGTGTGCTATTAGAAATTTTCTTTGCTTACTATAAGAAGAAAGTCTACACGGGGAGGGTGGGTGGGAACACTTAGAGAAGTAGGTAACGCGCTTGCCTCCGAGACAGAAGGTCCCCAGTTCGATTCCTGGCGCTACTAGGTCCCAGCAAATAACCTTTTGCAAAAATAAACCCAAATAAACAATTTAAACTACTACAAGAGGATCATACGAATGAGGAAAAGCAAGCTGAGACAGTAGCTCAGTAAGTAAGGCGATAGGCTAAGAAGTAGAAGAAGGCGGCCAAGAAGCTGAAAACCAAAGGTTCGAGTCAAGCTAAAGAAAAGAATGTAAGAAATGAGCAAGCGGTACTTTTGCACATTTTGAAACTATATCTATTACAACTTTTATGTACGTTTATTAAAACAAATACAAACAATTGCGATATACATAAAAAGTAATTTTCATAACGACTTATCATCAAAATCAAGCTTAAATACAATTATCTACAACTGAATGTGTTGGACGTCCTATGCATTTTGAAAATTGTCTCTCAAGATCAATCGTTTTGGTTAAAAAAAATGTTCAAGAAAACTGCATACGGGACGACATAATACTGAACATGAAAACTGATCCAAAATTTTCACAGAGGAACATTTTTATCCAAATTCAAGAGTGGTAACGATTCCGAAAATTCAAAATGCATATGATCTCATGTAAGCGTTTCCACCGCACGCGGGTACACACTCATGACCCTACAACTAACTGTATGTCCCCATGCTGATGATCACACACAACACCAAACAGCTGTCAAACATTGTTCAGTTCTGTAAATTTAATGAATGCTTTCTCATAGATAAATAAATATGTTTTCTTCTCTTTAAATCTTCAAATAGGAACAAATTTATGCGCCGTGCGAATCAAGAACAGCATGAAGACATGGTCAGTTTACAATCTTATCCCAGTCAATAGTCATTTTAAGAACAATATTACGTAAACAAAATTAAAAAGGTTGTGCAAAAACAAGTTTACTTAAAATAACTCTACGGTCACTTGTGTTCAGTGATTCAGAAACACTCAGCAAAAATAACCCAACAGCACGTGCAGGACTGGCACCTAATCAGGCCTTTTGTTCTCAATCACCCCTTGATCCCGACCGAAATATAGAATTAAGAAAGTACCAAGTACAAGATCAACATTAAGTAAAACACTGACCTTCCAATTTTGTGGAAATCTTTTACTCTAACCAATCAAAGTGTCATTTTTTTAAATAATTTTTTTGTTTTTTCATGTTTGATTAGAAAAAAAATTTTAGGCGATTAACTGACCAAGCTTCTTTAATTACTAGGAAATACCCATTTCCCCCAAATCAGAACTTTGCGACAACTTCAGTTTCGGATTTTTCAAAATTTCAACTTGTAAAAGATGCGATAAATGCCAGTTCTACATGTACATTTTAATTGACGCAAAAGGAAACACTCTCTGCTAATCACAGTTTCTCTTTGTGAGTATTTCCGCTTTGTAATGAAAGTATAAAGTTAATTTCCCTTCTTTAATGAAAAAACTTATTAATTGCGAAAAAAACTAACCCAACCCCTGACTTGATTTTCTGAAAACGAACATTTCTACCCCCTCCCAGCAATAAAACTATGGGTCTGTCACTGATCAGACATAGTACTAGTATATCAAAACACCGGGAACCCAAGGAAGTTTATTTTTACCATGCGTCATAACTGCATATTCATAATTTTAGAAAGTTCCGTTTTAATACGTGTGGGCAATTCTGCAATAACTTAAAAGTGTCATAATTTGGATTACAGCGTTTACAGTTTATTGTAAATTTACGTTTCGCTCATTTCTTACAGTGAACCCACAATAAAAGATTCATGAATGCACTTTACGTATTTTTCTTTTCTAAATTTAACTTCATAAAAATTCAATATTTGTATTCAATTTTATATGAATAATCACGCATTTTTAAGTGCATAACAAAGCGTCTTATTACATATTTGCCCACACACATAATTTTACAATCAAACATTGAACAGGTCGTACTATACTAGCACTGTGCTCTGCCTGGGCTTTACTTAATGATAATTTTACAATTACTTTCATTTTCATAGATCACTTGAGCAAGGCACTTTTTTAACCTCAAAGGTGTCGTTTCAGATTCGNCGTCTTATTACATATTTGCCCACACATATAATTTTACAATCAAACATTGAACCGGTCGTACTAGCACTGTGCTCTGCCTGGACTTTACTTAATGATAATTTTACAATTACTTTCATTTTCATAGATCACTTAAGCAAGACATTTTAGTATAACCTCAAAAGTGTCGTTTCAGATTCGAAAACTGGTCGGTATAAACAAAAATTTAAATTACAATAAAAACATCGTGCGAGGATAGAGTGCTGTACTACAACTTTTTTACACATGTATAATAATAAACCAGCAACGTGCAAGGTTGACGCTTGGATTTAGTCAATTTTATCGGAAGTTTCATGAAAAAACCACTCGTTACAAGCTGCACTTCATTTGATACACGTTTTGATGCAGAATATTACAACCCAAAGCACACATTTCAAACCAAAGCAAATGTCAACCCTGCAAGTTGACTATACGACAAACTTCGACACGCAAGACAACGTTGACATGGGTGCGGGCGCTGGCGAACACGAATCTGATGTCTTTTCTGGGAGCGCGTCCAATCTCATCGTAGACGGTTGTTACGAGGCACTGAAATTAAATGAAAAATGAAATGGATTAAACAAAATTCATAACAATATTTTAGGATTTGACAAAGTGAAATACATAATAATAATAACAATGATCTTGTTTGGTTTTTGACTTTCTTAGTTATACATTATTTTGCGTATTTTGTCGGTAGTGTGACATAAATTCAGGATTTTATTGCTAAATGTGCTTATTAAAACCTCTTCAGAATGATTCTACCAATTACTTTATACCAATGCATCCACACTTAAATAATTTCGTAATCCGAATGCTGGCACTTTAGCTCAACTTTTTAAAAATCAAATACTTTATGCAAACAATTTATTTCAGATTATAATATCAAGGACGGTAAATAATTGAAATTGCAATCAGAAAAAAAATGAAGTCAAGGGAGGTCGACAGTGTCCAGCAAATATACGTTTGCTTTCCTGGTCGCGGCTAGTTCTCTATAAAATAATTTGTTTATTGTCAGTTAACTTTAATAAACAATATATATTTGTGCAGGTCACTGTCAAAAAATAAAAAAGGCACCCGTTGGGAGCTGAGAATATTACAGTAGTTACCTGCTTTGTCGTCTTGCTTTGTTTAAGACGGAATAACGCGTTCAGACCTTTGGACGGCTGGAATAATCTTCTCACTTCTTTATGAGTAAATACTTTCCTTCTGGAAAAAGCAATATAAAAAGTTATTAAACTTTCCAAGCTCATTTCAGCATTCATGTCAATGAAATATATCCAAGAGCCATTACGTCTGAAGTGGGAAATGCATACTTTTGGATAAAATATCGTCAACAGTGTTGTCTTATATCATCTATACAGTACTTACAACAAACTACAGCAGTTCTCAGTGCCAAAATTTCAGTCTACGTGTGGAAATTGTGGCAATGTGGCACGTGAAGCTTCTTCCTCTTCCTTCTGACCTTGGTCCTATCTGAATACCTCTCACCAAAATGCTCACCTGGTTTACATAATAATAGCACTGACTGTGGGATTGTGTTAGAGAAGACACGATGCGGCTTAACGCAATCTAAACGTTATCATCAGGTTATTGCACAAACAAACCATTTTGTTTTGTCCATCTATAGACCTTCATCCCAAATAAATGAGGTTTTAATTATTAACCCATCCCAATTAAAACATGATGTCGCCAATTGCTCTAGCACTGTAAATATTTAACAGTTGTGGCGACTTAGGTTAATTTGTACATATATATCTAACATTTTTATTTTTATGCAGCAGTACATATGAACCCAAATATGCTTCTTAGAAAAAATAAATCACATAAGAATCAGTTTACTGAGTTACGCATCGTTCGTGAAGGTATTGTTTTCTGATTTCATTGTTTGTTCTCTGTTGTCGCGACTCTGTGGTTGCGTGAGACGTTGTATATGTGCGCACGCTTGTTTTTACGTCGCTTATTCTTCTTTGTTACGTTAAAATGATACATACGTTACCAATACATACGTTACCATGAAGCGTTTAAATATTTATTCTATTTTCATTGGTTTTCTTTCGCTTTGTGGGCCAACACTTATGTCTTTTATTTGTTTTTCATTAAAATAGTGTTGGCGCACAAAAGGAGAGACAACCAATGAAAATAGAATAAAAAATATTTAACAATACCTTCACGTTATCATTTTAACGTATGTATCGGTGACGTATGTATCATATAAAGAATTTCAACAAACGGTTTCAAGACAAGTAATCTTTACTTGCCCTGCTTTTCCTTCTTATTGTAATGCTGTATACCGTAAGAATAAGGCGTTTGCTCACAAAACGGACAACAAACAATTAAAAAATAAAAGTATTTACAAGCCACGTGGTAACTATTTTCATTGGTTGTCTTTCGTTTTGTGCGCCAAAACTTATGTCTTAATGTTACATAAAAATGAAAGAAATCGAGACAAATAAGATTTCTTGCCTTCAACTATCTGTGGAAATTGTTCATATGATTCATACGTTACCGATATGTACGTGACCAAATAATATGAAGGTGTTGTTTTCTGATTCCACTGATTGTTTTCTGTTGTCACGGCTTTGTTAGTGCGTGCGACTTTGTACATGTATATGTGCGCACGTTTGTACGTCGTTCATTCTGTTTGTTACGTCAATATGATACATACGTTACCGATAGGCCTACATACGTTACCATGAAGCGTGTAAATATTTATTTATTCTATTTTCATTGGTTGTCTTTCGTTTTGTGGGCCAGCACTTATGTCTTAATGCTACATTAAAATGAAAGAAAACGAGACAAATAAGATTTCCTGCCTTCACCTATCTGTGAAAATTGTCCATTTGATTCATACGTTACCGATATGTACGTGACCAAATGTCACGACTTTGTGAGTGGGTGTGACTTTGTATATGTGCACAATACGTTTTACGGCCTTCATTCTTATTTGTTACGTAAATATGATACATATATATATACGTTACCAAATAACGTGAAGGTATTGTTTTCTGATTTCATTGTTTGTTCTCTGTTGTCGCGACTCTGTGGTTGCGTGCGACGTTGTATATGTGCGCACGCTTGTTTTTACGTCGCTTATTCTTCTTTGTAACGCTAAAATGATACATACGTTACCGATACATACGTTACCATGAAGCGTGTAAATATTTATTCTATTTTCATTGGTTTTCTTTCGCTTTGTGGGCCAACACTTATGTCTTTTATTTGTTTTTCATTAAAATAGTGTTGGCGCACAAAAGGAGAGACAACCAATGAAAATAGAATAAAAAATATTTACACGCTTTATGGTAACGTATGTATCATTTTAACGTAACAAAGAAGAATGAGCGACGTAATAACATGCGTGCGCACATATACAACGTCGCTGACTTGATATCTGTAAGATTCTGCAGGGAGAAATGGGAGACATGGCCTAGTTTTTTACCTCTCAAAAAGTTTGCAATATACTTTGTCTTTTATTGGTCCCCGATTCTTTAATATTACCAATGTTATCACTTTGAACTGCATAAAACACTTTTGGAAGTAAAAGAATCATATTAGAAACTATCACTACACTTTCTTTCTATCATTTTACTTTTATTCATCTTAGTATTGCCACTGACATATCTACTAGTACCTCAATTTAGGACTCATTCCCAATGACACTATTGATCTATGTAAATCGATCCAGCTCCACAGGGACTCTTGCTGAATGCAATTGGATTGGCTCGCCTCCTTTTGTTTATAACATGCTTATTTTCCATTTTCTACTCAAAGCTAGGGGGTGGTATGCTAATCTCTTAATCTGATTACATTCAGCAAGAGTCCCCCTGAATTGATCTACCTAGACAGATAAAGCACTGACTGCACTCTTATTTTTATTGGGACTGAGTTCTTAGACCTAAATATTCTTACAGTCATATAAATAAAACAACAACAACAACAAATAATAATAATAATAATAATATTTATTTATAATTAAAAGTTTGTTGGTACATTTATATTGTTGTCTTGAAATGCTAATTCTCAGAAAAACAAAGGTCAAATACATTTTCAAGAAGTGCATTAAAATAGAAAGTAAGAATACAGTTGATGAAATCATATAATTACCTAAAATAATATAAGTATGATAAATAGCGACAAAAACTGCATCATTGACTTTCAATTTAATTTTCAAAGACTTACAAAACTGTAATTGTAAACATCTGCACAGTACTTTTTAATTACATTTGTGCATTAAAAATTCCCCATGTTAATTTCTATATACGTTGTACTATTTCATAAGGAAACAAAAGCCTGAAATTCACTGCAAAGAGACTGTAGTTTACCACTTTTAAAATGTTCTCTCTCTCATCACTTTATATCATGTCCACAGTGTTTTCAGTGATTTCCATATGAGACTACAGACACATATACAACTATGATCCCCACTGCACTGATGAATACAATAGTCACATCATATTACCTGGTTGGGGTTATGTGTGTAAATGAAATATCTTAAATATGACAGTTAGTGTAAATGTAACTCTCAAGTGGCGAAAAGCTTTAAAATTTTTATTGATCAAGTATTCTTCATCAGTTTTGTATACATATAAGCAGGCCCGTAGCCAGCAATTTCAAATGAGGGTTCGTTTTCTGAAAATGTGGACCTTTTACCATAAAACCTTCATGTACCTAGATCAAATTTTATCCAAAGTGGACCTTTTACCAGCAAAAAGGGCGGTTCTTTTGAACCCCCCGAACCCCCCCTGGCTACGGGCCTGATAAGCAAGTTTTACCCCCTACCCAGGTTCTGTATGATATTATTTGTTACTGAACACATTCAGAACAGTGGACTAACATATCTGCAGATCAAATATGCATAATCCCAGTGAAGAATCTATTCAGTGTCTAATCAGGAATTAAGTTTTTTAGTGGGTCACCATATTTGATCCATGGATCTGTTAGTCTGAATGTGCTCAAGGAGGCATGAGAGAGAAAATGTAACAACAGTTATAGGAGTCTGAAGTTTTCTTAGTACTTAATTTCTCTTTCTCACCTCTCTTTATCTATGCCTCTCTACAACTTCAACCCAGTTTCTCTTAATAAAATTCTGCACTAATGAGCTTAATTAAATAAATAAACATTCTTTGATTACAAACAGCTCCAAAATTACCAGGTGGGAATTTACTAGGTACCAGTACTTATAACAGACATTAACAATGTGATGATTCAGTCATCATTCTGACTTGCTTAATCCAGTATTGGTTTATTAGCACTACATGTACTTTAGGCAAGCTAACTCAATAAATAACTTTGGATATTTAAGATAAGAAAAAAATTGTCTTTTCATTCAATTTTATTTTTAAAAATCTACATAAAATTACAAAGTAAGCAACAAAAGTAATAAAAGTGCTTATCTTTTATTAAGACTACTATGACATCACAACAGTACTGTACATATAAGTATAAAAGCTTCAATATATTTATTGCCAAAATTTGCTAAATTCTTTATTTTAAAGAAATAATAATGAAATGATTTCCTCCATATTACACAAAATTGCTGCAGACAGCTTTTATACTACTGGCAAACCATAAGATGAGCACTAACATAAGACTAGACAGCAAAGCTGGCAAAATATACAGACACAAAACACAAAACAAGGTGCAACAATAGAGTTTAATAGATTTTTTTCTGTGACAGCACCGAATATATACAAATACGGGCCAAGGCCTATGGGTTTGCAAATTCACCAGTTTTATCATTAGTTATATAATAGCTTCTTTCAGTACTTATAAAACTGTACATGTGTATTTGTAAAAATAATCAAATCCTGCTCATTTTTAATTCAAGCAGCCTTTTACTAAACAAAGTCACTCTGCATATTTGATGTAAAACAAAATCATGGTTTGGTATCTATGTTAAGACAGTCACCAAAATACATGTAAAAATAAAATAAATAAATAAATAAATTGTGTTTTTAAATTTTTTTACACAATCGAAGTTGGGGGGACATGCACCATGTTCAGACTGAATACCAGTGGATGTCTGGGGATGACTACAGGAACATGGACCCTATCTCCTGATGTCAGGGAAGAAAAAGAAATGGTTGGAGCCTGGTACACAAATGTTGACTGCATTGAGACAAATTATCTCCAACAAAAGATTTCAGAAGGACATTTTGTCAAGAACAAGTATTTTCCCATATAAAGGTAGGGAGATGATATTGTAATGATACCTCCCCCTCCCCCCCCTTCGTTTGGTTTCCAATACCACATTTCCACTTAATCTCTTTAGTTTTGCTAGGACCCTTCCCTGAAAGTGACCGCAGCAACAGGGTTATATTGGTGGTAAGTGACTATTTCACCAAATGGGTTGAAGCCTTTCCCTTACTAAACCAGCAGGCCATGACAACTGCCAGGACTTTAGTGGAAGAAGTGATTGCTAGATTCGGAACACCAGCCAGTTTGCATTCAGATCAAGGAAGAAACTTTGAAGCAAACGTTCTAAAAAAAGTTTGCACTATTCTAGACATCTACAAGACCAAAACAACACTGTTTAATCCAAAATCAATATGGTTTGGTAGAACGCTTTAACAGAACCTTGCAATGGTTACAGGTATTGCAAAACGTCTAGAACCCAATCGACA